ATATATATATATATATATAATTTTATGATCAAATTTCAATCTATGGGGCTCTCGGAAGATTGATGCATACACGACGTACTGCTACGGAAAGGATAGCTTGTTTTGAGGAGAAAAAATAACGTGCGTTACAAAAACATCGGTATGTCATCGCGGCTCATATATTATGCAGTTACATAGGCTGTTTACCTTTAAAAATTAAGTAATATCTAAAGGAACATCACTGAGCGGCAGTCGCACGCACGCACGCACACACACACACACACACACACACACACACACACACGCACGCACGCACGCACGCACCTACACACGCACGCACGCACGCACGCACACGCACACACACATTCGTGCGCGCACACACATACACGCACGCACTATCCACAACCATGTACTAACGCCGCATGGTGGCCGCAAATGGAACCATATCATAATCGTTTGAGACTCCCGCACATTTTCCGATGGCCGCTTGCATCGATGCTGTGCAAGCTAGCGTTCATGCTCGCGCGCGCCCGCCTGCACGGCACATGCACGCGAGCGTGTACGCGCACGCATTCCTCCCATCTACCCGGTCTAGATTACCTTCAACAGTCAAGCCATCGTCATACACGCATTCCAGAGTGAAATCTACGGCGCGATAGCCAGACATAATTGTGGCCAATCACAGCGGCCGTGGTATTGACGCCGTGATGCGCCCATCATCTCATCCTATATCCCTCCCTCCCTCGCTCCTCTCCCTCCCCTCTCCTCCACCCCTCTCACTCTCCCCTCTCTCCTCCCCTCTTCTCTTCCCCTTCACCCCCCCCCCCATTCCGTCTTTTGATGCCTACGAATCACTGCATACCCGTATATCATACTGAGGGTTTCTATAGTTGCGCTGCTGGTCATTACGAGCATGGCAGGTTATTATAGTTTCGTAACACACATGCCCTGTGATGAGAAGGCATGCCTAATTTATGCATACATCTGGTGCGAGTCGCGCTGCAATATGATTAAATACCCTGTACCTATACAATAAATAAATGTAAGATAAATAATAATAATATTGCAACACAATAAATAATTATTTAAATAAATAAATAATAAATAAATGAATGAATGCAATGAATGAAATGAATAAATGAAATATAATATGATGAATGAAGTGAAGGAAATGAAGAATAGCATATGATACAGATAAATTTAATAAATGATTTAAATTAATAAATATGAACACGCACATGCACCATGCAGCTACGCACCGCACCCATTATATATAGATATATATATATATATATACTATATATATATATGACTATATATATAACTATACTGATATATATATGGTAAGTATGTAATGCTATATATATATGTATGTATATATTACACAAATACATACGACAAATGATCAATTTAACCAATTAATTTTAATATGACATATATACATAAAGAAATAGGCAATTAACTTTTAACAATATACAATAATAATCAAGAGTGCGATAATAGAGATCTCTATTATGTTACACTTGATAATTAAAAATTAAATAAATAAGAAGTTCTCTCGATGCTCGGCAGGATATACGATCAATCTCGTATAATGTCTCGGTCATCATGTATTATAAATGGCTTTGTACTCTACTCTAATTATAATTCCGGATAAATACGGACCGCAACCGCACAAAGACAGATCGCTAAAATTTCGCTTCCGCGCAGAAATGATTTGCACAAACATTTATTCGTGCACAAAATGTCTACATACCGCGTAGACCGATACACGGCCAAAACGCGTGGAATTGTAAGCGGCGTGCTTGTAACGGAGCGCGGGGATGTATGTAGAGACGGAGGGGTCATGCCATCCGTAAGCGTAAGGCAGCTGGCGGCTAGCTCCAGCTGCCGCGGCACGCAGACGCGCGTCTCAGCAGGCACAGCTTATGGCGGACGCATTATTACAAGCGTTCCCTGATTCTTAAATGAATTCATACTGAAGAGGATTCGGAGATGATCGGTCTCACGATACTATCTCAGACGAAGATATTGTCGAACGAAAAACCAGCGGCGCCTGGTATCAGCCCCGGTGTCGTTCGTCTCACTTACGACGAAGCATACAAATAATAATGTTGAGGCGTTTGAAGAGTGGATGATTCAGTTAGTTTAATCTTGGCGATAGCGGTAGCGTCGGCGGCGGCGCAAACGGAGACTTCGCTAACCTGAAAGTGTAATGATTTAGTTGCAAGAGAATGATTAATCGAATTTAGATTGCAATGGAGTGGTTATCCCGACCGCGGGAGCGATGGCTGAATTTTTTAAAAATTTATATTGCTGCTCGCATTTGCGTGCCAGCGTTGCAACATATAATATCTGCTGTCGAATGAAATTAAGTGCATTGTAAGAGCAGGGCATAATGGCAGTGTGAGTTGTGGTCGCACCGGCATAAACGAGGATTATCTATTGTGTGCCATTGGTCTGGGGTATTTAATTACAGGATCGAGTGCTCGACTCTGCAAGTGCCAATATTTCATAACGATAAAATATCGAATGCCGACGTGATATTGTCACTGACGATCTAAAACTGCTGCGTAAAAGGGGAACAGCAGAGAAAAGGTGTTATTCGTTCATCCAACCATGGCTTGTAAATCCTGTTTGGTGTTATATGGCGAGCCGTTACAGGTTAATATATATATATATATAGTATATATAGTATATATATATATATGATATATAGTATGATATATAGGTATAATAGTATATACTTACTATATATAATGTAATTATATATATAAGTATAGTAGATATATATAATGTATAGCTCATATA